CATTTCCAGCCCTTCCAACAGGACTGGTATTTTTACTCAGGATTCTTTCAGTTGCGCCCGATTCTTTTAATTAGCTGCTCGTAGCCAGGGTGGTGTTTACTCCTGGAGTATCTCCTGTGAATAGCGGGGGCACTTTACCCATTAATGGTGCTTGAACAGCGTTTAGCCCAAATCGCCGAAACAGTTAAACCTGCAGGATGCAGTTTGCAGTTTCTCCTCCTTTAAAATGCTCCCACATTTCTTTCAAAGGGTTATTAGTGTTTATTTTATTAAGGCAAGGTAGGGAAGGACTTACACACGGAGTAAGAAGCTGTGAGTAGCCACAGCAGGTTCTGTGTGTGAGCTTACACGCAGCTTGTGTGCTCTCACAAAGCATCTCAGCGCCCAAATAACCAACAAAGTTCTTTTCCTGCAAATATTTGGGCACACATTTACTACAAAACACCCATCGTTCCGGGGCTGCAATTAAAAAATAAAAAAAAAAATCACCTTTAAGAAGATCCTAGAAAGCTCTGGATTCCCACTTTCTCTGCTCCTCTGCTATGAGTCTTTCACCTTCCGTCCTATTCCATTATGTGGCTCTAACGCAGGGCTGAGGCATCAGCTCACCTTCCTCCTGTGTGTCCGTGCAGCCAAAAATCTGCAGCAGGAAAAGATTTCAGGAAGGCTTTCCAAAGCAGGGGGGTGAAAAAAAAAAACCAAACCAGCGTAAGGGCTGCAAAAGCTCCATGCCTGCTCAGAAATAAAGGCAAGGCGTGGGGAGATATTAATAGAAAAATTAGAATTATTTTTTAAGAGTGATGTTGAGCACGTTCACTTCGTGCCTGGAGCTGGGGACACGACAATTAGTACATCTGACGTTTACAATGCAGATGTTTATGATGTGAATAATAGATGGAAAGAGAGGGAAAACGTTGTTGTTTTGGGGAAAATATGGAACAGTTTGATCTGGAAAACACCCGAACTTTGCTCAAGCCACCAGGCAAGTATGAAGGGGACTGCTCTTCATGCCCAATTTAAATCCTGCAGCACAGAAAGTCTGAAAAATCATACATTACAGACAAAAATATGGTTACTGTAATAACAGGGTGTTGCAAGAATTGTAAAATAAATTTGGGGGTAGGAGGGTGCAGCCTTTAGGGGAAAACAACATGAATTTCCAGCAGCAGGGTTGTGCAATGATTCTATATTTTTAAAACCTGCCTGTGCTCCATTCATACTATTTAAGTGCTTCAATCAGCACAATAAATGTAAATAATTTACTGCTTCACAAAGAGAAAATTGGGCAGAAAAGTGATTTTTGAGGAGCGACTTGGCTCTCTCTGCCCAGTGATTTGGTGCCCTGTAAAATGCATCTGACACTGCTGTTCATTAAGCTGGTGCTATTGAGCCTTCTTCACATTCATTAGTGATTAATTCAGACAGATATTTAACTTAATAAGGTAAGCAAATAAACAAAAAAATCACTTTCTGTGCCTTAAGGTTTTTTGGCCCTCTAATTGGTTTTGTGCACTAATTATCAAGATTAACACCTTACGCTTTTCTCGGTCCTTACACTTAGAAATTCCCGGTGGGAAAATGTAGCCAACCTTAAGGGAATCCCTGAAGTGCAAGGGGTTAAGAGTTTGTCTTTTAAAAGCAAGATAAGCAGGAAAAAAAAATCTAGGAGAGCCTGATTCCAGGTGAATTTTAGATAATAACAGGATGAGGACGCTTGCGTGGATACACACACAGTGACACTCGTGGCTTTTTATGGGTGTGAGGGGAAGGTTTGCAAGGGGATAATTTGTGTCTCAGCATCTTTGAACAAATAACTGGGATCTCCCAGCCTTCTCACCCCCATTCCAAACCCCGTATCCAGTGTTGGTGGCACATCCCTCCTTCTCACCAAGAGTTAACCACCGGCCTCCAGAAGTTCCTTTCAACTCCACTTCCCACAGAACCCGAGGACTTGATGTCAGTGCCAAGGCATTGTGATTTCCTTCGCTGTTCACGGCAGTGACATTGTTCCAGGCGTTGCCTGAAATTCCCCCACAGCCAAGCCTGACCGTGTCCTCCTCTTACCTTAGTCTCCGATCAAGGAAACCCTTCTCTCTCCAGGCAGATGTGGGAGAAGCAGCTGGGTGGGAGTAGCACCCTCCACCCAGCCTGACTCCACATCCCTGGGAGCTGGAGCATCCTCCCAGCACCCAGCTCTTCCTGCCACATGCAAATGTCAAAGTTTGTCTCTCTCACGTCTTGACATCCCCTCAGAAAATGCTTATAAAGTGCTGATTCAGTGTCTCTCCTGCAAATGTCTCCTTGCCTGCTCCTACGAGCCGAGCTAAAACCTCCCTTGGATTTCACCTCGGGAAAGCTTTGGGAAGGACCACGATGTGAAGTTCTCCTCGATCTCAGGCACGAGGGTCATTAAAACTCATTTTAGCCAAGGTGCTGGTACAAGTTGTTGCCCGTGACAGTTTGTCACCACCATGAACAATATTTGCTAGGCAGGATCCCAAAATATCCAGCTAATTGCCACTTTTCCTGCCGTGGGAAGTCTCACAGATTTACCCAGCTCCTGCCTTGAACCCGATTGCACTTTCCAGTAGTGGTTTTTTTTTGGGGGGGGGGGTTGGAGCATTTGGGGATTTTTAAACTCCTTTTCCTTTAATTCTTTTCTTTCTTTAATGGGTGACTGGATAAATTCAGTGGTGGATTTTTGTGACACTAAAGCAGCAGATAAGTCTATGATGCACTCTAGCTATGTGGTTTAAAAATCCCTTACCATATGTTTTCTCACTGGAATGCCTCATCTTGCAAAATTACAGGAACCGAAGCTTAAAAACACAATTAGGTAGTTTAAAATGAAATATTAAAGAAATACCACATATTTTCTGATATGCCTGCGATGGTTTTCCTTGATTTTTTTCCCTTTCTTTCTTTTTTTTTTTGCTTTCTTTTGTATTGTTCTTTGAGTTGTTCAAGGAGCCCAACTGTATTCGATTGTTGTACTAATCATGCTCCACATTTTTCTGATTAGGTTATATAGGCTGTGGTTAAATTATAAATGAAAGAATGAACTACCAGAGTACTTGTCATAACAGTATCTTTTATGTTGTTACAGAAGATTGGGGGGGAGGAGGAGGAATCAAAAAGGGCTTTCTACGATGAAGATTCTCCTCTCCTATTTTGTGCTCCTTATAGGATCTGTATAAGACAAGGAATGCAATTTGTTGGAATGTTTTTCTCAGGTATTCTGAGAACTACAGCACAATATCTGTCCACTGAGAAAAATGTGAGAAAAAGGAATCCATAATACATAAAGATGCATATTGTAGCACAAACTGTGGCGTGCACACAAACACACCCTCTCCAACTCCACTTTATTCCATTACTCTGCTCTAAAAACCACTTGAACTGTTTTATTTTTTTTTTCTTATGCCATACAGGAAAATATTTCCACATTTGAAATGATGCCTTACACTGTTATCTCCTGTCCCACTGCATGTGCAGCACAAACCCAGCTGAACGTGTGTCTGATGATGGGATATATTTTTGTTTAGAGGATACATTTTTGTTTCCATGCTGTTATTTTAAGCCATTGGCTGTAAAACTGATTTTAGGGAGAGCTGGAATTGTAATGATTAAACTACTTGACTGAAGGCTCACCTTGAAGACACTGGTGGTTTAAAAATATATTTGATACTCCTGAAATTAAATATATTGTTTAAACATTGTAGCATTTTAAGCTTCTTAGTACAATATTTAAAATAATAAATACAAGGAGAATGGGGGTTTGCTGTTAAATTTTATCCTTTTCTTAAACACATCATTATTTTTTGTCAAAGTTTAGCCAGTTAAAGCAGGGAGGTGGAGAAGAAGGCAGAGAGGGAAGCCTGGAGACATGAAATAGATTACACCTTGCATTAAGCCATGCATTTAGCTGTTTTCCAAGAATTTTAAGGCAGAGCTCCTCCTCGGATGTTTCCCAGCTTTAAACAAAAAGCCCTGCACACGGATTGCTTTATGCTCTTTATTGCAGCAGATAAATGGATCCTTAAACATATCAAGGGATTTTTGATGAAAAGGAGATGCCAGGAGATGGCTTTAATTGCCAGATGCCCGGGCTGGGATGGGCAGGGGCTGTGTGGGGCAGCCAACACGTGTTCCCTCAGCCAGACGTGCCTGGGAGCGCTGCTTTTTGCACCCCTGCAACCAGCCTTAAGGGTTCTGTTTTTTGGGGCTTTATTGGATGAACTGTCAATGCTTCCCAGGATAACAAATCTTGTTTTATAGCACTTGGTGGAGTTTGGTTCGGGGCTACCTCTGAGCAACATGAACTTGGCCTTGCTGTGTGTCTTACACTAATACCTTCCCTCCTGTAAGGAATCAGGGTACTTGAGAAACAGCCTGCAGCCATACAGCTGATTATTTCACCAAATTTGCATCTTTTCAACAGTAATGGGGATGGCTTTCACAAATGCTCCCAGGCTCTAAATAGATGTTAAGTGGCTGTTTCTAGTTGCTTCCTTCCCTCTCCCCCTTGGGCGCTCCCAAGCCCCTGCCCATGGCACCCAGGACCTCCTGCCTGAGGGAGGGATGCTCAACCTCCTTCTCTGGAGTGTCTTTCAGGGTCAGGAGTGCCCAGGGGTGTACCTTGGAGGAGCTGGGATTGCTTTTTGGGTGCCCTGAGCATGATGCTGAGGAGGTATCTGTGTGAAGTAGGGCCTGGAAAGAGGTGGTGGGAGAGCATCTGGATGGCAGCGAGGGACACCAGGGTCCCTGAGGATGGAAAATGGGAGGACCCGGAGGGATGCATTTCCTCAGGGGTCTCTCCAGCATGGGCTGGGACTGAGGAGATGGACTTCAGCAGAGCTACGGCCTCTAAGGCAGAAATTTATTGGACTCCCAGTGCTTGCATGCAGCCCTGCAGAGGTTCCCCAAAATCCATTCCTCTGTGGGTCGAAAATTCAGTGGACAAACAATCCAGGGACTGGATTCCTACAGTTCCACATTCCAATGTCAAAGCCTCATTTCTCTGGAAATCTGAACCCTTTTTTGCTTTTCTTTAAAATGGGTGGCTACTCCTGATGTCTCACAGATCCTACACAGAGGAACAGCTTGTTTAATGCGTGTTGCCCAGAGAAGCTGTGGCTGCCCTGCCCCTGGAAATGTTCAAGGCCAGGTTGGATGGGGCTTGGAAGAACTTGCTCTAGTGGAAGGTGGTCCTGCCCATGGCAGGGAGTTGGAACAAGATGGTCCTTAAGGTCCCTTCCAACTTAAACCCCTCCCTGTTTCTATGTATGCAAAGAGCTCTGTGTTCCAGTGGGTTATCCCAGGACACTCATGCAAGTAAGATGCTCCAACTCCCGCCACACCTTAGCCACAGCTTCCCTGTCCCTTACTGGCAACTGTGCTATTTCCCATGGATGAAGAGTGTGGGGATCAGGGTGAGATCATGTTAGGAAATACTATATTCTGCTTTTGTTCCCACTCTAAATGCTGTTTTGTCCATCACGGGCTTACAGCACCTCTTCCCCTTCCCTGCATTTTTTAAGTCCAAAACAGTGCCAGCCTGATAAAATCTAAAACCTTTCTCCCAAACTATAGTAAAACATCAATACTGGTCTGTCTTAAAATCCACAGAAGGAAACTTAAGGATTAGAGTAAAGCCTTATTCTTAATTTATCTGTCGTGCATAAGTATTTCAGCACATAACGCTCCTCTGGAAGGATCACCCACAATTTGGAGTTTTTTCCCTCGTTTAGGCACCTTGGGCTGAGTTAAAAGGCAGAGAAAACTTGCAGAACTGTTGTATCTAGCTGAGCACTCATTATAAAATGGATTACTGGTACAGTAAACCATAAAGACTGTTTTAGAGCCATTAAGGTTCAGCTTGTCACTGCTGACATGGACACACTCTTACACCATATATTCCTGACATGTCAGGAGGTGCTTAGGGATGCTTTCATACATGTTTTATTGAAATGACAGGCTATAGCTTCTTTGCCTGCTGTATATATGCATGGCTATATGTTAGAAATCCAAATTAAACCCTCTTGAAGAAAAAAAATAACCCCCTTACACGTGTGGAATGAGTCCCATCTTCAGCGATAAAGTTGTTACCTACATTTTATTTTTAATGTACTTTGTAATGAAATAATGAAATCACATTTATACCTGGAATAAAATGTGGCTGAAATCAATGAGGTTTACACTGAAGTGAATTCTGCAGTTGATAAAATGTGAGTTCAAAACCAAAGCAATTTCGGATAAGAATGAAAAAAGTATCAAACCCTCAGATTTCCCTTCTGAAGGCGTCTTTCCATCTGTATGCAGATCAATTGTTTCTCCCAGGCTGAGCTTTTGACTTGTTAGGGCTTTTTGTCTTTCAGATCCAAGAAAAACTTTACATACAATTATGGTGCCTTGAAAATAAAATTTCTAAGTGGAAACACCAAGAGAGTCGTAGCTGCAGAGAGTAGGATCTCACAAACCTTGCAGGGCTAAAACTCACCTTTGTTAAAGGTTCAGAACACAGAAAGAATGTAGGATTTGGTCCTTCATGTTCTTTTTCTAAGCAGTTGCTCCAGAAAAGCGAGTTGAAACTTTTGGCCTGTGTGAAAGGGGTATATTCCACATTTTGAGATTAAACAGGGGATATATCTGTCTGATAGAAGATCCATGGCTGGAACGCTTCTCCAAAAGCTGCCACCACCTTTGGCTGCTTTCTCGGTTTTTGAAAGAAAACTCCAGGAAAAATGATGGTGGAAGTGAGGAGCTCATGTGTGGATCTGAGACTGGATAAGGTGAATTATCCTTTGCTGGTGCTGGAAATGTGGATTTGTTTTATTTTTCACAAACTGCAGTTTGGAGACCACCATAACTGATCCTTGTGATAGGATAAGAGGGAAAGGCTTTAAACTGAAAGAGGGTAATTTTAGATTTGATTCCTAATTGGATATCAGGATATTAGGGGGGAATCACAGTGTGAAATTTAAAATCACATACTTTTTAGATTGGCAAGGTGTAAAACTCACTGTTGGTTCCAGAGACAACCCCAAAAGCACGAGCACAGCAGGACACACACAGTGGGAGCAGAGGGTGAGGCTTGGAG